AAATAACACAGGAATCATAGATAATGCTTATTGAAAGTTCTGTACTCTGTTTACTTCAGGAAACATGGAAATGAAATGCACAACCTCTCCATATTAAGGGTAGCTGAACCCCATTTGCGGGGAGTTCAAAAGGTAAAGAGGACAGTGAACTTGTTGGATTTTTAAAAGAATTTATCCCTCAGAAAGATTTCACATGTATATCTGCACTTCCTTTTGAGGAATATGCATGAAGTGAAAAGTTGATAAAGTCACTAGATAATAAATTTGTGCTCTGTAAATGAAAATGAGCCAGTTCCTTTGCTTTATTTCCCCACCATTTTGAACTGCAAATGATTTATATGGTGCCTAAAATAATATAAATATTTTTCTGTGGTATTGGCAATGATAAATTATCCAGAGATAGTCATTACTGACTTTGGCCATGAATCTCTTACTTGGTAACAATGCAAATAACTCAGGAGTCGTAGATAATGCTTATTGAAAGTTTTATACTCTGTTTACTTCAGAACACACGGAAATGAAATGCACAACCTCTCCATGTTGAGAGTAGCTGAACCCCATTTTTGGAGAATGTCTACATGAAATGCAAGCACAATCATACCATGCAAAAATAGATCAACATTAGCACCACTTACCAAAAAATCAAACACACATTATAAACACAACAAAAAACAAAAACCTGTTTCATTTGTATGTAGTTATAAAGATTATACTTTCATAGTAAATCTTGGCATTATCCCAAGTAGATATTGCATGTGAGATGCAAACAAGTTCTGTTTTACTTGTTTCTCCTATTGAGGGTTTATTGTTTATTTATTTCAAAAATTTTAATTAATGTGTATTAATTATAGATCTGTATTGATTTCTTTGGGATCTGCTGCTAGAGAGTTATTATGTTCTTTCAGAAGCATCTTATTACCTTGATTTTTTCATATTTCTTATTCTCCTGTGTTGAGATTTGTGCATCAAGTGGATCAGGTGTCTCTACAAGTTTTGTGGAGTGGCCTGATCCACCACAGGGGCCCCTACACCCATTAAAGGACTAGCCACATAGTGAGCACACACTCTGTTTAGAACACAGAGTGGGTCTTTCCAATTCTGCCACTGTATGCACTGTGTTCAAAGTCATTAATCACAGCCAAAGAAGCTACAGGAGGACAGCGCTATGATACCCGGCTGGAATTAGAGCCAACTGGGTATAACAAATCAACACCCAAGACACATCCTTGGGAGAAAGCCTTCATGAATTGTATTTGGCCACCCCCATTGACATGTACCCAAGGGTAGGGGACAGACAGCCAAGGGTTGTCAGGGTCCTCTCACCATGTCACTGTGGCAAGGCAGGAGTGGAAAACAAAGTGCACCTTCCTCAACTTGTTAGTAACAGGCACTTGAGTGCAGCACAGTGAGGAGGGGCAGCTGGAACCCTGTGGGTACCTGCCTTTGGTCCCAGCACTGGTGTGGGTCCACATGTGCCTGGTCACACCCTGTTCTCAGGGGGCAAGGACCTGCTCCTGGTTCTCAATGGGGGCATCCTCTGCTCTCTGTGTTCTACCCAACCCTCATCCCTACAGTGCAGGCACCCTGGGCTTATATCACGGTCACTCTGCTGGGCCACATTGGATTCTTGAGGCAGTTACCCTTGAAGCCATAATAGCAGAATGTGTGTGGAGTCTCAGAGATGGGAATGTGCAGGGTTTCTGATCCCTAGAACAATTCAAACAACAGTAGGTCCCTTCTCAAGATGGCTCCTGGCTGTAGCACCCTAGGTTTTCTTAGGAGATGATGTGAGATTCTTTCCCAAAGCAAGACAGCTGTGCAGATTTCAGGTTACTTATCTAATTAGGCTCTAAGCTGGTAAGGATGGTATGACTTACAAAACACTTTTATTTTTCCTAATAGCCACATTATTTTTTTCCCAAAATATTTCCAAAAGCACAGTCTACATTTGTATAGTATGAAATATATGAGTGTGCATGCTACAGGAAGGCACTCAGCGTTTCAGAAAAAATAAATAAATATATATATAAAATACAATGAGCTAATGCAGGTGATACAATGACTCATTGGTCTAATGCTGGTTCCTCTTTTCTCCAAGGGCTTGATCATCTGAGTAATCAGCTATCCTGTCTTTAGAAATTACTTTCCTTTATTTCTTCAATAAAAATGTAACATTTTTCTTGTAGGAAATTTTGTTTGCTTCCTTTTTTCCCTTCCTTGACACTGTAGGCAATATTAGGTGTATTAGTCAGCATTCTCTAGAGGAACAGAATCAACAGGAAGTAAAATTATAAGAAGGGATTTATCAGTTTGGCTTCTGCATCCAGAAGCTGGATAATCCACAATGGCTGGAGAGCTAGAAGAACCAGTAGCTGCACAGTCCAGGAGGCAGAGGTCCCAGAATAAGAGGGATCAAAGGTGCTACCCTAGTCCGAGACTGAAGGCTTCTGCAGAATCACTGGCAGAGTCTACTTTGGAGGGGTGAAGAAGTGCGAGTCCGATATCCTCAGATGATCTAGCAGCAGTCAGGAACCTGTTCAAGAAGAATGGAGCTTTCATCTGCAGCTGCTTTCTTGCCAATCATTCCTAGACACACCCTCATTGACACTCCCTTAAGCCTCTGAGTAACTGGCTACTCTTAATCCAATCAAGTTGGCAATTCAAATTATCCATTACATAGAATATAGAGCACAGCTACAAATTTACTGAGCTTGTGTTGATTTTTGGTGAAAGGGCGTTAGGTATTGTTTTATGTCCTGAATTTCTGTAGATTCACTCATAAATTTCAATCGCATTTTATTTATGAAAAAATAAAAGAAAAATAATAGAAATGACAGTTTCTATAATTACTTAATCAAAACACTGCTAGGTGAAGAATCCATCCATTAAAATTACAATACAGATATTTTGATGGAAAACACGGTGCTTTGAATAAAGTTTGACAAGAAATATGTGTTTGTGATTGGAAAATACATTCAACTGTGAACCACTGTAATGGATTTTTTTTTTGTTAACAATAAAAACATTTTCAAAAAACCTTTAAATTAAATTGTTTGACCTCATATTTTAGGTTACTCATTCATATTCACAGTGAATTATAATGTTAAGAATATAAAGACCTCTCTACAAGTTGTATGTTTTACTTTTACCATAATTTAGATAAGTACCTAAGAATATGTGGAAACATAGATTTCTCACACATTTTATATATTAAAGAAAGATTAATTACAATACATAGTATCTTTTCCTTCTCTTGGTTTTGATTTTGGTCATAGATGACCAAAAACATCTTTAATTTTTTTTTTAATTGTAGATGGATACAGTACCTTTATTTTGTTTAGTTTTTTAATGTGATGCTGGGCACTCTACCACTGAGCCACAATCCTAGCCCCTAAAGCATCTTCTGTATAAAACAAATTGACTTCTTTCTCTTAAACACCACATCCTTGGGAAAATTAAGAAACTAGTCACTCAAATTCTTTCCTGTGGTTCATATGAGATTGAGATTACATATACTGATCACATTATACACATCCCAGCAGAAGTGTAAATTACATGCACACACATATTTTATTCTATGTGCATTAGAATAATCATTCTCTAAGTAACAACATTTCTGTGGTGGTTGTTTTGGGATCTAAAGGAAAGTGTATGAATTGATTTGGAACAATAAAATGTGAGTGTGTACAGAGAGAGTAACTAAATGAGAGATTCTCTTAGGACAACACGTGTAACTGGTATTAATCATATATTAAATAGCTATGTTGATTTCAGCCTGCTTAAAAATTTCCTGCACACACGGTGGACTATAAATTTTATTGGATCCTTGACTGAAGCTAAGGAGTATCCGTGACAATTGGCATTATCTCTGGCTGGCATCACTTCTAATGCTGTAGATTTATTGTTCTCCTCCCCAGTGGCCAGAAGAACTCTAGGCAGTCTGTCACAAATGGTGAAGAGTGGCTTGGGTAACATCCCTGGGAGTCACATAGTGGCTTCAGATACTATTTGGGGAATTTAGCAGTGAAGCCTGTGGTGAACAGGTTAGGAACAGAAAAGACTGGAGATTTGTGGGCTTCCTGTGGCATTGTATGTAATGACTAAAATGATCACTTGGCTGAAGCACTTCCCTTTTCCTAATCAGTCACACACACACAGAGAAAAAACAAAAACAAAAATTCATCATACACTAACAGTGAGCCCTCCAGCATTTGATTCTGGCCATAGCTGTTAAGAAGCTTTGGTGTTTTTTTGATATTAGAAGACCTTCAGAGATAAGTGTACTAAGCCAACTAGCACACATTTAGACATGCCATCATAATTTAAATTTGAAGGAAATTTTAAGTGTTTTTATCCAAAAATATGATTTTCATTTTCCAGAGTACTCTTTTCAAAGCTTTCAAAGGTACAGAAAGGTGATTTTCTGTAACTTGGTTTACTGTTCAAATCCAATTTAGTTCTGCCACCTGTTATTTTTCTTCTTGGATTTTTTTTTTTAGAAGTCATTTTTAGAGCCTTTGATATCACTATATAAGAGCCTCACATCCTATGGTGTAATTGACTCTGGATTTGATCGTTCAACAAATACACAACGAGAATCCATTGTGTGCCAAAAGCTGTAATGTTTATTTTTCCAAGGAAGCTGCTTCAACCTAAGTGTTTGCAGCTCTCCATCTGTTAGTTTAGGAATTTGTCCCTTTATTACTGTGACAATATTGATAATTTCTCTTTTAGATGATAGGCTTCAGGAGATGGAGAATTTTGCCTTTGGGTTTTTGATGCTCTTCTAGTGATATTTTGGGGATAACTTATTATATTTTTGAATAGATTAATATAGCCTTCCTAAATAGAAAATTAAAATTTCCAAATTTAGCGAACCATGTCACCATGTTAATAAATATTTTTCTACTGTGCAGAGCATTACACTTAAAAGTGGAACGGTTAAAATGTTTGCAGAATCAGCTTCTCATTGTGGAATTGTTTGTTTGTTTTCTTTTTAGTCTTCTGAACAACAATCAAATCAGAAAGATTTCCAGAACTGCTTTTGAAGGACTTGAAAATTTGCTGCATCTGTAAGTTCTAAGAAAAACCAACAATGGCTTAAATTTTGTTGACTGATTATTTTTGCCTTCTTGATTATTTAAACCTAAGTAATTCTTCACCTTCCAGAGAAGTACTGGCAACCTTGAAACAGAACTGTTAGATGAACATTTCTAAGGACAGCAAAGTGTTTCTTTCAATAGATCGTGCATCTGAGGACATTTGAATATTAATGCACATTTCTGTCCTTCCACCCTTGACACACAATTCTAAATTGGAGAAAAATAAGAACAAAGTTTAATCAACACTTATATCTAATTAATCAATAATTATAAAAAATCCACAAATCTGAATTAATATGTTAATAATTCAGTCATCTAAGACCTCTTGAGGCTGGTGAACACATTACAATTAGGAATGTTAATCAACTTGGGTAGGAGACAAATTTTGAAAAAAAAACAGCTTATAAATATGACCATTGACAATTATCATGCTTTTGATGTATTATTATTGATAAATGAATAAAAAACACTTAAAATGATTGCTTAAGTCAGAAACCAATGCATGTTGATAAAATGAATGTTGGATGGTGGAGAATGGATAGGCTTATGTGGGAGGCTGAAGAAAGTAAGCCCAGGGACACTGGTAGGAGTGAGTCCTGCAACTTCCTTTTAAAAAAAATGTTAAAGACAACTGGAGGTAAAGCTTAGTAGTAGAGCACATGCTTGGCATGTGCCAGGCCCTGGGTTTGATCAGTAGCACTACCAAAAAAAAGTATTAAGGAGGTAACTAACATTTTTACACAAAAATGTCTGCTTGTAGATCCATTAAGCAATTGGTTTAAAAGTCATAGTAATTCTTTTAAAAAGAAAATGCGGTCCTACTTTTGCTCTAATTTACATATCTGTTGCACTTTGCTGAAATGGAATTCCCATTATACACCAACCCAAGAGCTTTATAGCTTTCTTGTTTTGAGATTCCCCAGCCCTAACACACAGGTCTCCCATAACTCTTTCCATTAATCCACCATAATTTCTTGATTTGCTGCCCTAATCATGCACAGCCAATCTAACATGATCTGTAGGTGCTTGCTACTTTTGATCTCTACCAAGCTTTTAGATCAGTGCTGTAAAAAGTCTGCTCTTTGTTTGTGAAGAATCTTGACTTTCTCCCTGTTTTTCATCTCTATCCTGGCCTGTGGTTCTCTACTTAGCGGCATGTCAAAAGTAACTCCCTACAGTGATACAAGTAGTAGACTAAACAAAACAAAACAAAAAAACCCCTATGACTTTGTACATAATGGTTTAGAACAAAGTTCATTATTAGTGCTAATACTAAATGAGGAAATTTAGTTAAATTATAGCTGTTAGTAGGAAGTTAATATCGGATAAAATGCTCATTGTTGCTGATGTTGGATCAATTGCATGCACAAGAGTACCATATGCTCTGGATGAAAATAAGAAGAGCATTTCATAAAACTTCTATGTTATGACAAGCTAAACATTGTTTTTTAAGTGAAAGATAGGTCTTTGGGCTTCTGGAAGGTAAGTGACTTATGAAAAGGTGAGGATAATTGATAAATGTGTATTAAGCAGTGGGTGATGAACACTTTCCCATGGCCACCAATGTGCATCTTTCCATGTTTCCACTAACATTGCCAAGTGAGCATTGCTTCTCAAACTGGAGAAGTTCCCAGACAGAGGGCTGTAAGCAAGAAGACCCACTCAATGCATATGATACCTGCAAATTCATCTTCTATCTTTCCTTTGCATTTTAACCTCAATCCCTTGTTATTTTATTTCTTTGAACACAATAAGCACATACACACTTCCTCCTCAACCTGTGCACAGGATGCTGATTATTTTCCTCTTGGCTATTTTACCAGGCATAATGTCACTGTACTCCCAGTGACTTAGGAGACAGAAGCAGGAGTATTACAAGTTTGAGGCCAGCCTAGGCAATTTAGCAAGACTCTGTCTCAAAATAAAAATCAGAAAGGGCGGGGCTGGGGATATGGCTCAAGCGGTAGCGCGCTCGCCTGGCATGCGTACGGCCCGGGTTCGATCCTCAGCACCACATAACAACAAAGATGTTGTGTCCGCCGAGAACTAAGAAATAAATATTAAAAATTCTCTCTCACTCTCTCTTTAAAAAAAAAATCAGAAAGGGCTAGTGATGAAGTTGAGTAGTAGAGTATCCCTGGAGTGAATCCCCAGTACCATAAATAAATAAATAAATAAATAAATAAATGAATGCAGCTTTTTCCCTTAGTTAAATCTCAGTTTTAATATCACATCCTTTAGGAGTCCCGTTAAGTCAGTTAAATTTTTTTTTTCTCTCTCTCAGGGTGTGCCTTGTGTATTTCATTTATTACATACATTATACAAGTTCATTTTTCTTTCCCATTTGTTACCTTGTTTATTTTTGGATTTCCCCACTGGATTCTGTAAAGACAAATGGCTCTGGGGCCATACTTCTTTCCATTTATTTGCCATTTTATTCCAGCATCTAGAACTAGTGTCTAGAACAGAGCGACTGCTCACAAAAGATTTGTTAAACAGATGTATGAACATAAGGTGCTCAGTAAATGCTTGATATTTGATTGATTAAGTCTCTTGGCTATGATGTGTTAATTAATCTTATGAGAGAAGAATGATAACGCTATTATATGCCTTGGATTTTTCAACAACCTGTGTATTTATCCATTATTTATAGTGTGCCATTTCCCAAGGATTTCCAGTGTTGTATTACATAAAATAGTTATAATGTTTTCATACTGAGGAGCTCAATTTTCATTAGACTATATATACCAAAGAACTTCAGTTTCACCTTGCCAAACATAAAGGCTAGAATATTTTATTTTTTCTCTAAGACAAAAGCGTTTCTAAACTCATGTGAAATTGTAGCGTGTTTTGTCCAAAACATATCATTGATTCCCTTGGGCAAAAACAAATAGAAGTATCCTAGGACAAATTTTGCTTTCAGATTCACACAAGAAAATACAATTGTTTGAGAATATCCTTGGGAACTGGGGTTCATTTAAGGTTAGCTGAATTTTAAAGCCAAGATATATTGTAGAAGTGGGAGCAAAATATTCCTATTCTTTGATTCAGCAGACCAGTTATCTCTTAATAGCGTTGTCAGGATTCATTATTGTGAGTTAATCTAATGATAGACTCCAAAATAAAACTTCTTGTCAAGAAGCATCTTGGTGTCCCAATGATAAGGATCTTATTATTTATTAGCATTGATAATTGAAGAGGTTTTTAAAAAGAATTATTTGTAGCGGGAAAACCCTGGCATGTTTCTGCAGGTTTGAGATGAATTGGGCATCATTTGTTAGTATTACAAAAAGGGAAATGTATCCCCCTTTCAAATCCGTGATTCTGTGTCTGGCTATGGTCCCCATTTCCTAAATTTGGTTTTGTTCTTTGAGTTACAGTTTCCTCCTTCCAACGCAGCCCTTGGACATCTTTGTCCTCATGAACTCTCACTCCTGAATGCTACACCCTATGCACAAGTTCACCTTTTTAAATCATTGTCATGATATGTCACTTGAAATTGTGTACTCAGCCTTTTCCATCTTTTGTGATTTGGGTAGGAGGGGGCACTGGAGATTGAATTCAGGGGCACTCGACCATGAGCCACATCCGTAGCCCTGTTTTTTAGTTTATTTAGATACAGGGTCTCCCTGATTTGGTTAGTGCCTCGATTTTGCTGAGGCTGACTTTGAACTTGGGATCCTTCTGCCTCAGCCTCTCAAGCTGCTGGGATTACAGGTATGTGATACTGCACTTGGTGCTTTTGTGAATGTATTTGAACTCTGTCTCATTTCTTTTGCAATGTATAGATTTTTTTTAAATCACTTTTTTTGTTGTTGTTTAAACTACTGAGCAAGAAAATGTCATTGAAGAATCTGATCTTTAATGATGTAACTTTGAGGGACTCAGCTCTCACCATTTTTGTCTAGACTCACTGCCTGAATTTAATGACAGTCTTAAAACAGAGTGAAATTTGCATTCGGTTTCTTGTTCATTATGTTAGCTTTCCTTTCTATAACAAACCTCTGCAGGATTTTTAGTGGCTTAAAACAAGGAAGAGGTCCTATTTTTTCATGCTTGATTCATGGGTGGCCTGGGCAGTTCTGGTCTGCTCTGGCTCAGACCTTGGGTTTAGAATGGCATCACTCACACATGCCGCAATTCCACAGTTTTCAGCTGGGGAGGGGGGGCTTTTTCTTCTTTCTCTGGCCAGCTAGATTGTGCTCGTTCACACAGTGATCTATCTCTAATGAAAGCCAGGGATGAGTGCTTTTCAAGGCTGGCTTTTGCTGTTTTTTAGTGTCCCATTTGGTCAATCATGCCACATGGCCCAAATCTAATTCCAGCACAGGAAGATCTTGATGAGTGAAGCAGCAAAATCACCTCATAAAATGTTAGAAATCAGGGATGGGGAAATTTGTGGCCGAAAGTGCAATTGACCACTTTAATATGAGGAGTGGAGTTTTCTGAGAGTTGAGATTCAGATTGCAATCACAATCAAGCCCACTCTGGCTCTGTCACCAGGATGGACTTTTCTGATGGGTACAGTAGGAGCTCAAAGGGAGAAGAGGCCTGATCTATTCTGGGAGACACAAGGGGTGGAGGGCAGGTTAGATTTGAGGGAAGAAGCAACACTTTTACTTAATTTTGAAAGGCTGTATGAGAAGAGGTAAGAAATGGTCTGCTGTGATTTGGTAATGGGCAGTATCTTCAGTGGCTGGATGGAGCATGGATGAGAGATGAGACTGGTGAGTTTGATAAGCCAAATAATAGAGGTGAATGGTTTCAATGCCTGGCTGCCTGCCTTCCTGTTTATAACTCTTTCTTCTAATCATGCCAAATTAGCTTCTATTCTTACCACTCCACTAAAAATGCTTCAACAACGTCCACTCGTGTTATTAGACATATTGAACATTTAAACATTTAACCCTGACTCATGGGTCTTTTATTGGTCACACCCCCTCTTGATCCCTTTGGTGCTCTTGGTTTTC